CGGCCGTAAATTTTATTTCTTTTATAAAAAAAAAAAAAAAAAAATATTATTTTTTTTTTTGTTTGGGTAGGGGGAGTTTCAGCATTTTTTTTTTCTTCCTCGTGATTTTTTGGGGCGCGATTTTTCTTTCCTTCACCCCCCCTTTTTTCCGAGTACTCCGCTGCGAGGTCTTCTTTTCGCCGCGAGACATCCCCGTCCGTGGTTTTTGGGCCGCGATGTTTTTGGGCCGCCAGGTTTTTGGGCCGCGAGGACGCTGGACTAACTGAAGGGAGAGCAGATGACCGCGTAGCCGTGTTTAACCTTGGAGAACCTAAGGCGTGTTGGACATAGAGAATGTTAATAGAAGGGTTCTCTGGGGAAGCATTTCCACTATGGTTCGATCACCGTCCATATGTTTCACCTTCGTCCTCCTCTTCTTCCTCCTCCTCATTCTGCTCCTTCTTTTCCTCCTCTTTTTTCCTCACTTTCTTTTTCTCTTCTTCTCTTTCGTATCCTCGTACTCGTTTCTGTTATTTTTGTCTTCTTTCTCCTCTTCTTTCTCTTCCTTCTCCTTCTGCTCCTTATCTTCCTTTTCCTCCTTGTCTTCTTCCTCGTCCTCGTCTTCTTTTTCCTCCTCCTCCTCCTCCTCCTCCTCCTCCTCCTCCTCCTCCTCCTCCTCCCTCCTCCTCCTCCTCCTCCTCCTCCTCCTCCTCCTCCTCCTCTTCCTCCTCCGCCTCCCCCCTCTTCCTCCTCCCACCTCTTCTTTGCCTTTTATCTTCCTCGTCCATCCTCCTACTCCTTCTTCTTCTTCTTCTTCTTCTTATTATTATTATTACTCTTCTTCTTCTCCTTCCTCTTTCACTCTGTCCTCCTCCTTTTCCCAGCTCCCTTTTGTTCGCGCGTCCTTTGTCTCCCTCCATCTCCATTCTATCGCCATCCTCCATCACACTTATAAAATTTCCATCTCTCCTCCACACTTCCTCCATCTCTCTCCTACACAGTTCCTTACCCTTTCTCCATCTTTTCTCAAACCGTTCTCCATCATTCTCTTTCTCCCTCACACTTATCTATCGTGGTTTTGTTGTCTATTGACAAGGTTGTTGGCGACTGTCTCGCGGGCTGATGGAGTATTGATGGAGTGTTTATGTGCGTGTGTGGGTATATGCTTACACACACTGATAAACACAAAAACGTACACGCACGGACACAAGCACTCAGAAACAGACAGACAGACAGACAAAAGACACACACACACAAGAGTTCATTTGTGTATGGACATTATCCATCCTCGTTTTGCGTGTTTTCTTCTTTTTTTCCCCTCTCTTTTGTTTATTTACTTATTTATTTTCTTTCGTTTTGTAAGGACTCAACTTTTGAAAAAAATAAATCTTACGCTCGTTATCCGTTTCCATTCGCAGAGAGGGATACGCGGATTTCGAAACTATTATTTTTTTTATCGTTGCAGTACATGGTGTTGGTGATAACATTAGCGTCGGTATTATGTGCTGTGGTGCGGGCGAAACCTCCCATCATCAGCGAGAAGTGTTGGCATCGATAATATTTGCCTTCCCTTCCGTAAGGGTCATCATCATTATCGAGCACCATCGTCATCATCATTATCATCGTCGTCGTCGTCGTCGTCGTCCTCCTCCTCCTCCTCCTCCTCCTCCTCCTCCTCCTCCTCATCATCATCATCATCATCATCATCATCATCATCATCAATCATCATCGTCACCACCACCACCACCACCACCACCACCACCACCACCACCACCACCACCACCACCACCACCACCACCACCACCACCACCACCACCACCACCACCACCACCACCACCACCCCTCCCGTGGCACCGACAGCATACCCCCTCCCCCCTCCCCGCCATGACGGGGCGTGCGTGCGTGCGCGAGCGGCGTGCAGTACTGTGCACGGCGCGGCTCCGGTGGCGGCGGCGCACAGTACAAGCCGGTAGTTGAGAGTTGTAAAGAACATGATCGGTCTGCGCGCGAGGGCGGCCACCAGGCCTTCGGGGAGCGCTTGATGGCATCTGCAAGGGCGCGGGTGCCACGTTGAGGGTATTTTGCCCTCGCCGGCCGGGGCACGGGGCAGGGGGAGGGGGGAGCGGACGTGTCCCGGGAGCACACGGCGGAGGAGCATTGTGGGCGAGGGACAGTGGGCAAGGAGGTGTGCAGGGTGGGCATGCGAGTGGGCATGAGTGTGGGCACGCGGGTGTGCAGGTAGCGACCCCTGGCATCAGCTGCGTAACACAGTGGCGAGTCCCTGCCAGTTGGACCCGCCTACTAGACCTGGCGATGCCGCCGCCGACCCCCCTCCCCCCTCCCGGCCCTCCCCCCCGCTCCCCTCCTCCCTCCACGGCTCTCTCTCTCTCTCCCTCCCTCTCTCTCTCTCTCTCTCTCTCTCTCTCTCTCTCTCTCTCTCTCTCTCTCTCTCTCTCTCTCTCTCTCTCTCTCTCTCTCTCTCTCTCCCTCCCTCCCTCCCTCTCTCTCTCTCTCTCTCTCTCTCCCTCCCTCTCTCTCTCTCTCTCTCTCTCTCTCTCTCTCTCTCTCTCTCTCTCTCTCTCTCTCTCTCTCTCTTCCTCTCTCCCTCTCTCTCTCTCTCTCTCTCTCTCTCTCTCTCTCTCTCTCTCTCTCTCTCTCTCTCTCTCTCTCTCTTCTCTCTCTCTCTCTCTCTCTCTCTCTCTCTCTCTCTCTCTCTCTCTCTCTCTCTCTCTCTCTCTCTCTCTCTCTCTCTCTCCCTCTCCCTCTCCCTCCCCCCCTCTCTCTCTCTCTCTCCTCCTCCTCTTTCTCCTTCTCTTTCTCCTCCTTCTATTCCTCCTCCTCCCTTTCTTTTTTTCTCCTCCTCCTCCTCCTCCTCTCTCTCTCTCTCTCTCTCTCCCTCCCTCCCTCCCTCCCTCTCTCTCTCTCTCTCTCTCTCTCTCTCTCTCTCTCTCTCTCTCTCTCTCTCCTCTCTCTCTCTCTCTCTCTCTCTTTCCTCTCTCTCTCTCTCTCTCTCTCTCTCTCTCTCTCTCTCTCTCTCTCTCTCTCTCTCTCTCTCTCTCTCTCTCTCTCTCTCTCTCTCTCTCTCCCCCCCTCTCTCTCTCTCTCTCTCTCTCTCTCTCTCTCTCTCTCTCTCTCCCTCTCCCTCCCTCCCCCTCCCCTCCTCTCTCTCTCTCTCTCTCTCCCCCTCTTCTTTCTCTCCTCTCTCTTCCTCCCTCCCCCTCTCTCTCACTCCACCTCCATCTCCCTCCCTTCTTCCTCCCCATCCTTCACCCGTCCCTCTCCCTCCCTCTCGCCTCCTCCTTCCACTCCCCCTCCCCCCCCTTCTCCTCCTCCTCCTTCCTCCCCCCTCCCCTCCTCCTCCTCCCTCTATTCCTCCTCCTCCTCTTTCTCCTTCTCTTTCTCTTTCTTCTCTTTCTCCTCCTCCTCCTTCTATCCCTCCTCCTCCTTTTCATTTCTTCTCCTCCTTCTCTTTCTCCTCCTCCTCCTTCTATTCCTCCTCCTCCTCTTTCTCCTTCTTCTCTTTCTCCTCCTTCTATTCCTCCTCCTCTTTTCTTTTTTCTTCTCCTTCTCTTTCTCCTCCTCTTCCTTCTATTCCTCCTCCTCCCTTTCTTTTTCTCCTCCTCCTCCTCCTCCTCCTCCTCCTCCTCCTCTCCTCCTCCTCCTCTCCTCCTCCCCCTCCCTCCTCCCCCTCCTCCCCCTCCTCCCCTCCTCCTCCTCCTCCTCCTCCTCCTCCTGTTTCCATTCCTCTTCCTCTTTTTTTCTTTTCCACTTCTCTCCCCTTCATTGTTCTGTCTGTTTATCTATCTGGCTACCTGTGTGCATGGCTATGTGTATCTGCATATGTGTGTTTCTGTGGATGTATCTGTCTGTCTGTCTATTTGTCTATTTAACTGTCTAGCTAACTTTCTGTCTGTAGCCCCATCTGTCTATCTACCTGTCTATCACTTACTCTAATCTTAACCCTTTTACGTGTATTTTTTATATGATATTCATCTAATGTTTTTTGTTATCTTGTTTGTCCATTTTCTTTCATGAATTCAGTATATTCATACATACATAAATACATACATAAATACATACATAAATACATACATACATACATACACATACATGCATGCATATACATGCATGCATGCATACATGCATACATGCATACATACACACATACATACATACATACATACATACATACATACATACATACACACATACACACATACACACATACACACACACACACACACACACACACACACACACACACACACACACACACACACACACACACACACACACACACACACACACACACACACACACAGTAAATATAACATTTTTTTAAATAATATTTTTTAACGCGATTCACTCCTCGAATAATCTATCCTAACTTAAAATAAGCAACAACAGCAACACCAAACAGCAAAATAATAATAACAATAACAATAATCTAACGGCTATTCCCTCCCTTCCAGAAAAAGAAATTTGAAATTCGCGCGCTCAGTTACCCGGGGAAACTAACCTTCTACACGACCAGCGACGAGAAGAGCAAACACCTGTTGTACCTGTGTCGCCTCACGCACCTGTTCAACCTGGCCTTGCAACCTCGTCTTGCAGAGGTCCGGCAAATTCAAGAGGAAGGTGAGACGGTGGATTTTTTTTTTGGGGGGGGGGTATTTCGGTTCTGTTGCGATAGATAATATATTTTTAGATAGATAGATAGATTAATGTCTATTTTTTTTCAGGGGGAACTTTTATGTTTTATTTTTTTTTTATTTATATATTTATTTCTTGATTGTTTGTATGTTTTTTGTTTTTCTTCATGGAAGTATGGTTTCACTTTGGCAAATTATTATGTCAGGTATTAGATTCTATTTTGATTAGAGAGTAATATTCATAAATAGTTAAAAATTCCTAAATACAAGGATCCTACTTGTAAAACCATAATTAGATACAATATAGAGTAATGCAACTGGCCACCTACCATTGCAAGACCTAAACAAGATATATATCTCACGATTTAAAGTTGTCCATTTCCCGCGGTCTCCCTTCAGCGTCGCCGCCATTTCCAAGCCGCAATTAATCACGCCCTCTCTCCCTCGCAGATCGGAGGCGCTACCGAGACAGTTACATCTACAGTGACCGTTACGTGGAGATGGGCGGCCTGTCCGATACCCTAGGAGGGCTGAGGGGATACTTGGCTAAGACTTCGGCCGACCAACGCGTGTCTGTGATCTCGAACACCTCTTCGAACACCACGTCGGGCATCGTGTCCGATCGTGTGCTTTCCCTCGATGGCAGTGAGGGTACGTTGGCTCTGGTTTGGGCTTCGTCGATTTTTATCATTCGCTTTACTATCTATTGTTGTCTATTACGAGTGGCAGATGGTTCGTTGTGAGATATATATATTTTTTATCTTTTAGTGACAGGCAAGGGGAATACAGCTTATTTATTTCCTCCCTCCTCCCCCTTTTTTATTTTAGGAAACTCATAATCATATTTATAAAAATCTTACCTCTATGGCTTATTAGATAAGAGTGTCACGACCTGAGTACCAATCCGCATTAATCACAAAACAGAAGTTACGAAATATTAGTCACAACCACAAATTAGTAACACCAACATTAGTCACACTAACCACATAATTATTAACACCAACACTCGTCGTATTAACCACAAAGCCGAGTTCATAAGCGCCAGGGACTAAAGCTCCGCGTGTTGGCAGATGATCTGGACTCGGAGGTGCTGGTCAACACGCCCCCCGCCGCCAGCATCGAGAGCGGCGTCGAGTCCCTGACCAGGTCCCTCTCGCGCCTCGATTCGTCGTCGAGTAGCACCCACGCCCACACCCCGGACTATGGTGAGTGGAGGATGTCCTTAGTCACTGCTTGGTTCACAGCGATCACTGCCCGAGACGCGGCTGGAGAGAGTGCAGTGGATGTGGATACAGGAAGGTGTTTAGTCCTTCTGTGGTGCAAGGTGGATGGTGGCTGTTTCGGCATCGTAGCGCCTTCAGTGAAAGCGCTTCCGATAGCTTCTCCTGATGGCGAGGCGGCATCGAAGCGAGAACGGCACATCCTGCCTGACGGATTTGTTCGCTTTCGTTGCCACTCTTCGCACGAGACGCGGCTCTTTCCTGGTGGTCGTTGTTCGGTGTCTGTTTGGGAACTAATGGCTTTTAGGTTTAATGTTTGATGATACTGTTTATATTTGTGGATAATGGTGAATGGTAAGTTGGGTGACCTTTTTGTCATGCGTGTCATATTTTAGATATTAGAGCAGCGTTGTAATTATCATAATGTACTCGCCGGAATGATCTAAGAGTTTATAGATACATCTAATTGCTAAACCAAGTTTGCTGGTCTAATAATCTGCATGCTTCTATTTATAAGTCACTGATGTGATCCCTCGTGTCGTACAGATGAGGAGAGCTTGAGCAGACCGTCGTTCACTCCGCCGTCGTCGACACCGCCCTCCGGGGGGCGCGTGCGGGACGGCGTGGGCCTCTGCGGCAGCGAGGCGGGAGGGGTCTCCCTAGGCCGCGCGGGCAGCGTGCACTCCTCGTCCTCGCAGCACTCCGCCTCCACCGTCCGCTCAAGGTACTCCAACATCCCCCACAGACTGCCGCCAGATCTGACCCTCGGGGCCGACCTGGCGGACCTGTCCCTCGCCCAGGACCTCCCCGACCTGGCCGACCTGCCGGGCATGGCGGCCGACCGCTCGGGGCGGGCCGGCGACGAGGAGAGCGAGCTGTGCGCGGGCATGTCCCACACCCAGCACAACTGCTGCTCCACCTGCTGCGACGACGACAACGCCTACATCACGTCTGCGGACGACCCGGAGGAGGGCGCCGACGACCAGCACTGCAAGTGCGGCTCCTGCGCCATGTGCATCCTGCAGCAGGCGTCGGCGGGCTTCCTGCACCAGAAGCTGGATAGCGAAAACTCGAGCGTGGCGGCGCAGCGTGGGGACGCCGGCCCGCACACCTACAACGACTCCCTGGACTCCGCCAGCGCCTCGACGCACTTCTTCGGCAGCCCCACCTTCGTCAGCGACGAGACCTCAGTGATGGTGCAGCCCGACCTCGACGAGTCGGTGACCTCCACCTACAACTTCTCCGAGGAGGACTTCAGCCAGCTGGACAACAACGACGACTACGTGGAGTTTTTCAAGGACGGGCTGAGGTTCCCGGACCAGGCGGGCGGCCAGCTCGAGCGGAGGGACCTCTCAGAGGAGCGGGCGAATCTCACGCCGCCCACGAGCGTCCACCGCCTGAGCCCGCAAGGCCTAGGGGCTCAGGGGCTCGTCACGCAGAGGGTTGGGGCGCAGCCGGTGACCACGTCAGCTGAAGGGGCCGCGGCGTCGCCTCTGTCAGATCAGCAGGAGGAGGAGCACCTGGACTACTCGGTCGAGAGCGCTCAGGCGTCCCTCTCGACGTCCTACTCCCCCGCCCTTGCCATTTCCTTGGGCGCCTTTCGGCCGCGCGCCTCCGTGTCGTCCACCTTCGACACGGACAGCGACTACGTCCAAGTGTCGGGAACGGACGCCCGGTTCTTGGTGACGTCGCCGGCCCCTGTCTCCATGTCCACAGTCACGACCATCACGCCGGTGGCCATCGCCTCCTCGCGCGTGAACACGGCCTCGCCGAACGGCTCCCTGCCCCGCACCGGCGAGCCGAACAGCAACAGGTCCTCCCTGGCGACGCCCGACGCCGTCATCTGCGAAACGGCCGTGGCCAGTGCCAGCGAAGCCCCGGCGAAGTTTATTACGTCCAAGCCCCGGATCACAGTGCTGAAGGCACACACACAGCTGGCGGCGACAGCAGCGCCCTCGTTCACGTCGGTGCCGCTGAGCAGAGGCATGGTCCACACGCTGCCTCAGGTCCAGCAGAGGCCCAAGATCGACACCGTGCAGTCGCTGCAGCGCGGGGCGGCGCACCTCCCGGAGATGAGGCCGCTGGGCCTCCCTCCGCCGTACGCGCGCGACCACCGCTCCAACAAGGTCAAGGCCATGGCGGGGCCCGGCGGCGCCGAGGTGCCGGTGATCAGGAAGAACAATTACCTTGATGTGCGCGCCTCCGCGTCCATGAACAAAAACAAGGCGCGCGTGCACCCAGAGCAGCATCCTACTGTCACGCCAAGGAGCCTCTACCTCAGACACCAACAGAAAGCCCTGCAGCAACAACAGCTCAAGCAGCAGCAGCAAATTCAGCAACTGCAGCAGCGTATCAGCAGTGAAACTGTTTACCAGCCGGCAGCTTATGCCCAAGGCGTCGGGGTACCGCTGCTACCGTCACCCACATACACGGGCTTCCAGCAACAGCAGCAGGCTCATTCTCTTAGTATTCAGCAACCCGTCCATAGCCTCGTACAAGCTCAGCAGCAGCACCATCATCAACAACAACAGCAACAGCAACAGCAGCAGCAGCAGCAGCATCAGCAGCAACAGCATCAGCAGCAGCCTCAGCAAAGCTACTTATATCAGCCGTATATTAAGAACTTCTTTCAGAATCCTCCGCCTCCGTCGCCGCACCATGGCTACGGTGTGGGTGCGGGTCCTGGCGGCAGTGGCTACCAGGTGGCGCTGGAGGCGGCGTCGCCGACCTACCAGTGCGCCA